TTGCCCCAGTCTTTCACAAAATTTCATGAGCATCAGTTGAGTAGTTTTTGAGTAATCTTGCTGACAAACAAACATCTGGTGAAGACAATTATAAATATATAGGTTATGAACTACTCATTATATCTAATCACAAGCTTCCTCTTTGCAAAATATGCAACATATTAAGCGTTGACCTATTAAAGGTTCAGTGTGTAGAATTTAGTGACATCTAGTGGTGAAGTTTCATGCTGCGAACACACTAGTAAACACATCACTAGGATCATTTTTAATTTAATTTCTGCCAATAGATCCTTTTCACCTAAATCTTACACACTTTACGCTTAAATGGTCATGGTCTCAGCTATGGTATGTTCAGGTGTAGATAACATACGCACCAGTTAAATCAGTTGCTTGCTCTGTCTCGCACCAAAAGAATCACAGACATTATCTCACTGTGTGCAGCTTGAAAGCATCACTTGGTATTAAACGTAAACATTTCCAAAAAGAAACTACGTCATGGTGCAGTTTAAATGCAGCACTATGCAAAATATCCACAGCAGATTGAATTGGCCCAGGTTTTCATCTCTGGCCTGTTTCTACTCATGGTGTGCAGTTACAACAGAATATATATATTTGTACACGACTTGCTTTTATTCAGTCATCTCAGTAAGCTACTAACACATAGTCTGTGCTGGAGATTTAAACAAACATACAACTTAAATTATCCCACTATTTGCTGCAGCTCTGTGACAAACAGATGATTATATGAGCAGCAAATCTTTGAGCATACATCTGTGTTGACCTGACTCAAAGGAACATTAATAGACACGGTAAACAAGGCTGAAGCTGGCAGGAGAACATGTTTGAAGTGTCCTCAGAGAGTAGCGGATCTCGAGCGGGCTAAACTGCTGTCAAGTCCATCGATACTGGCTTTACACCACAGTGCACAGAGACAGCCTGAGTCCTGGTTGCAGGCTTCCACTTTAAACAACTCCAGAGCCTGCTATCGAACCTCTCCAGGTTGGCCGTCGATATCACCGCTGTCTCTCCCTCTCTCGTCACAGCTGTTAGCCAGGCCAGAGGGGGGGGGGGGGACAAAGTGCTCTCATTACCAGAGGAAGGTGGGAACAACATGGGAGCAACAAGGACTGGATTGTTGTTGGGAGAGTTTGGTGAATCCAGCTACTGCAGCTCTGGACTCTGTCTGACTGAAATCGAACTCTGCAAGTATCTCCTTTTGCTTTTAACACAAGGTCTCCACACTTCAACACTATACACTTTCAATGAGATTCACTGCAGAGCCCTCAAATGTGACAAAGACCTGCTCTCCGTCCCTCATCTCCAGTCATTCCTGATGAGAAAGTGAATTGTGTCCTTGAAACATCAAATTTAGTTTGATGCTTCTCTGAACTGAAGGTAGAACGGTTCCACTTCCCCACTCCTCACCCTGAACGCCTGTTGTTGCACTTGTACGTGACTTTGGTGAGCGGGGACGATCTCCTGTGAGAGCCTTGTATCTGACTGATGGTCATAGCATCGTCAGAATCAAGTTCAGCAGGTTCAAGAGTAATGTCGAACTGTAGAACAGTTAAAAAGATTAAAAATTCATTAAACCAAGCATTTATGTCAGATTTAGAAAGAATTCTAAATAGAGTTTTGTGTATCTGTTGGTGATCATGGGTAATATGTGTTTCAGTTCTGTGTGGGACTACACAGTCAACATATTGATAGGCTTTTTATTTTCTCTTCATGAAAACCATTTCACTCCTCGGCCACTCAGCCCGACAGAGTGAGTCAGAGTGTGGCTGCAGAGGGCTAAAAGTTACATAGTGTTGTTTTAAAACTAATTTTACATGTCAGATTAGTCACTGCAGTACTGTTGCTTAAGTGCTCTATATTCATGATGCATAATTGTATTATACCTTATAAATTACCCATTAAATTAACAATTTGCTGTTTTATTATTGTACTTTAATTCACAAATACAGTTCTCACTATGTGACCAAAGTGTGCATACATCAGGACGACCAGATGGGCCCGAGCAACAGTCGCCCGTTTCCAGGAAGTGACCGCTGTCTGTGTTGTTGTGAAGAGAGCTACAGTGAGAAGTCGTCTGCTCGACACAGGCAGGAGATAAGACTGCGGTGGCTGCGGCTAACGACTCGACAAAGATCCTACATTTCAGATAAGCAAAGCCCATAACGTTGTTGGCACAGTGACCAGACTGTGTTGAAAGGACAACTTCTCTCATCCAAGGTCAGGAGGTGCAGTCAAGTTGTGGTGGTGAGAGAAGTGACTGAGTTGTTACATGTTTCCATCATCACCTACTACTCTGTGCCTCACCAGGACTTATCCTGCTCCGTCCAGACATGTGAACATATTGCTCAACAGATAAATATTGGATATCAAATATCTTTTATTATTTTTAATCTAAATTTGAAACAGCCTTAAATCTTTTATTTATCTTCTACTTTGCCGAAAAACAGTGTCTTCCTCCCTCTGGATTGGCTGTGAGCTGCTGCACCCAGTGAAGGAGTGGAAATGTCTTGGGGTCTTGTTCTTAAATGAGGGTAAAATGGAGCATGATATTGATGGGGACTTTGGTGCAGCATCAGCAGTAACGCAGGCACTGCACCAGACTAATGTGCAGGGTGTTGAGCTTGAAGGTGAAGCTCTCAAGTTGACTGTGGATGTATGTTCCAACGCTTTAGGTAATGACAGAAAAAATGAGAGGGGCAGGACATAAACGGCTGAAATAAGTCTCCTCCATAGAGTGGTTGTGCTCACCTCAGGACCAAGTTGTGACCATTCTGACATTTGATCAAGACGCCTCCTGGGTGCTTCCGTCTGGGGATTTTCCAGGCATATGACTGGACACACTGTGATCGACTCAGATCATGCTGGGAGCAAGACACATCTCACCTGGCTTGGGAACACCTTGGGCACCCCCCCAGGGTGATTTGGATGACATTGCTTTGGAGAAAGGCATCTGTACTACCTTGCCTAGCCAGCTCTCGCCCTCCCAAGCTTTAAATTTTGGCTAACTTAAAGGGAGAGTTGACCCAAAAATGAAAATCCACTCACCACGATGCTGATGGAGGGCTGGGTAAAGTTTGAGTCCACAAAACAGTTCAGGACTTTAAGTGGTAAACAGCGTTACAGCCAAATCAAATACAACTGAAGTAAACGGTGATCACTTCTTCAAACAGAAAATAACAGAAATAAAACAAATGGTTTCATCCAAGTGTCCATAAGCACAACATTCAAATTCGACTCTAAACGGCATCAGTTACACCATGTTTTCAGCCTGAATGTCCCCAAACCGATGTAGCGATGCCAATGCGCAGCCTGCGCGTGCCCTTGGGCAAGAGCTTGTGTGCAGCGTGTGTGTGCAAATGTGAACATGACTCCAGGAGGATATGAAAGCAGTGCATTTCCTGTCAATTAACCCCTTTACATTTGAAAGACTTCTTTATAGACATTGGTGTGAATCATCGAAGTTTAGAGCAACTTTCTCTTGGAAAAAAATGCAGCAGAATAAAAGGCCACCATGGATGGAAAGTTGTAAGTAAAGAGAAAAAGGATGGACTATCTCCTTAAGGGAAGATTTACTCATGTTTAGACATTTAAGGCAGAATCTCCATCTTGATTGTATGCTTTGGTTTGTGTGACATGGCAATGTTGAAGAGAGTCATTAAATCTCTGGAGTCAAGAGGCGAGGCCAAAGGGAATAACTTGCGGAAGACAAGATCAAACATGGAGGGAACTCCAACAGGCAAAACAACAGCTCAGGGGCCCAATGGGGGAAGCATATAGTGGTGAATGGGTTGCTGTATCCCATCATTCCTAAAGTCTTGGCTCAAGGTGCTAAGCCTGGGCAGCTACGTGTGACAACCTAAATAGCTGATGAAGTGTGGCCTGCTGCATCCCCAGTCTCCACCACCAGGCCCGACACCTTCCCTCATTTAGGGGCATTGTCTCCCAATGAGTATCATTTGTCACCACTGCCTCGCTCCATGCAGACGCTCATGCTGTTTTCTGTGGCCCTCGCCCATTTCCACAGTTGGTAAACAGCTAAATCCCTCTCCCAATCAATGCAGCCTATTTAACTTGAGCTATTGACTTGCCTGCCCCTCTGCAGACTTGAGAGGTTGAAAAAATACAAACAAATTAGACAAGTGAGAAAGAACCCCAGAAATGGTGACAAAGACTATGAAAAGTCACATTTCCAATAATGAGCTTTTGTTGGCAGGAGGGAAAACGGTGACAGGGTGGAGGAAAAGGATGCAAGGGAGGAGAGGGGAGAAAAAGCAAGGGAAAACAGAGAGGGAATCAATCGATATGAACAGATAATCACCAGGCCTCTGTTCCAATGTGTAAAGAGTGTGACATTGCAGAGGTGGGTACGGCAGGGAAGAGATCAATGGGCTGCTTTTTGTTGATCCGTAATCCCTAACTATCTACAAGTAATTAACCTTCAGAGGAGAATGCAGTGAATAAATAAATGGAGAAATACGAGGAGGAATTGCAATGAGCTCAAGTAAAACAGAAACTACCTTTCGTTGAGGAGAAAACTGCAAAGGAAACCGAATTAAGTCTCCACTGCTGCCTCTGCAATTTGGGATGTTGGGTTTGTTTTTTTATTTGTCAGGGACGTTTACTGTGAATGACTATGTCTCCCTGTGGTTTTTAACATAGAAATAAACAGAGTAACTGCAGTTAGAGCAGGAGATCCCACCTCCAGTGTTGGAAATGTAGTTTTGTTCTGGTTTTATATTTTGTCCTGCTCAGTGCATCCTCTCCCTCAGTAGACAGGATCTTATTAGGAGTTAGAGTGCCCTCTGTGGGCACTGTGAGAAAAACAAGGGGAGAGGTGCACTTTGTTTTTCCAATAAAAGAAAAACTTACCTGATGCCAAAAATAAACGATTTTATAACATCATTTCCCCCCTTTCTATTTATAACCACAGTGGGTGTAACAAGATCAGCCAATGTCAGAGGAACACAGCACAGGGACGGTGGTATCTCTGCAGGATTTATTGGCAAACAACTGCCTGTACAGTACTTCAAGATGATCTCAAATCAAATTTTACTTCCATCCTCTCAGGAGTTTACATTTAAAGAATGCTTAACTTAGTAAAAAGGCAGACCATCTCATCAATTCAAAATGATACGATGGACTGGAGGGTTTTCAACTTGAGTGAAGTAAGAAATGTTTAAACACTCTGGCCACTGTATAGAGCTTATTGTGATGATGTTGTTAAAAATGTGGAAAAGATCATCAGATAAAACCAGAGGTGTTAATGTACTTTAAGTCATATACTTAAAACGTGTCACTGGAAAATTGTACAATTCAACAGCAGCTGAAAAACATTAAAGAAAAAAAAAACATTCTGTGTTGCTCTGCATCGTGGATTTCTGTTAGAGTTGAGTGCTTCTCCTCGGCTGCTGAACACAGGTCTTCACCAAAATGGACACCTAAAGATAAACAAGTACTCATCAAAGTCTGCTAAGAGTTTATAGTTCATTCAGTTAATTACATGACTTCAGACAGATTAAACATCCAACCTTTGTCACTGCTCTAATTAAATTGTGAAGCAGTGAATGTCAAGGTGTACTGACCATCCGATGTAGCACTGGCACAGGTTTTCATGTGATGTGGCTTGCTTGATGAGGAGCTCCACTTGTGTTGGCACATCCAGCGTCTCATCGTGAGAGAAGTCTCGACCTGTAGAGGAACAAACTCTCGTCACAACGCTCCGCCTTTGACAGAAAATTCAGCCTGGTAAAAGTAGATTTCCTTCAGGTCTCAAAGACTCGAACTAGCATGCACCGCGTATTTTTAGGATTTTAACTCCACAGAAAAAAGCGTTGGATAAGCAGACAGTGTGGAAATATGCAGGACTGTAGTGGTAAAAATAAAAAGGTGGGTAAACTATAATTTTTGAGAAGCTCTCTCATGCTGTTATTAAATGGTAGATGAGTCACCCATATAAGATAATATATTGACTAGGAGACTAGAACAACTCAAATTGAATCATACAGTTCAATAAATTAGCATTTTAATATTATTGTTGTTTATTTGTGCTGGTGTGGGCTAAACAATGATGGAATAAAACTAAGTACATTTACCTAATTACTGTGTACAAATTTGCATGTTACAATTTCATGTTAATTCACACATCTACTTCATTAGATCACAGAGTAATATACATAATTATACTTTTTACTCCACTGTTATTTTCTATCTAAGATTTTTGTACACAAAATATATAAAGACAACAATAAAATCCTACTTTTGCATTAATGCATGAGTAATAACACAGAACGCAGAGTCAGTGCATTCATTGTGAAAATGGCCAATGTCCATCCAGCATCACTTTTATATACTGCTCAGGAAACACTGGGACTGAATTTGACTCAAAGTTTTCAAAGCCCTGATGCCTGCAGACGTGAAAGAGTGATCATTAGCAGCACTGAGTTTATAAACCAATGAATTAATCTAATCAGAATTTCAGCCCTTTTTATATGGTTTACAAGTGGGAGAAGGTCTGTAACTCTACATAAGTCAATATTAGTCTGGAGTCAGTTTTTTACTTGTTGCTGCAGAACTCACCTGTAAGTTTGTCTCTCACTCTGTTGATGATCTGAATAGCCTTCTTGTTGAGTGCTTCAGGCTGTACCAGGCCGTCTCCAACTGAACAAAAAAGAAAACACAACCACGCTTGCATCAACAACATAAAAAAAATAATTAAATATAAATATAAATAGAGCTCCTTCTCTCCACCAAGACTCTTTGCAGCTGAGGGAAATCAAAGTGGGCCATAGTGCTGCATTAAATGAACACAGCCACGTGGTAAAGCACCCGGAGAAAACCTCAAAGAGTTGTACAACTACAAATAATCCAAGGAAAGAAGAAGAAGTGGTGACTCACTGAAGGAGTGAATGGATTCAGGCACTGTGGTCCCTGGTTTCTTGTGTGTGGTCTCTCCCAGGTCTATACCCTCCAGAGCCTCTGCAGAGGACAGCGCAGAGTCACAGGTTTAAGCGCTGTCTCACATCATTAAGACAGAAACAGGAAGCAGTTAAAGCTAAAGTTTCCAAACTCACCCACTGACTGTCCTGCAGTGTACGAGTCGGTCCTGGTTCGGGAACGCTTGTTGCCTTTGATGTTTGCTGTGGGACAAACAGGGAAAAGTGTGTGAGTTCTTTTTTTAAATCCTTGAGAGACAATGCAGAAGTTAGGTCCGTGAAGGTGAACAAATTTCCCGTGCAGTGATTTAGTGTGGCTCAGTGCGATATGTGCTTTTTTGCAATTATCTAATTTATCTTCGGTTTTATTATAAAGATATTATTAAGAAAATGTTTGCTTAAATGAGTAAATGAGTAAAAGGATCCAGTTTTGACACAAATTTAATGCTTGTGTGTATATAGGCGCTATACATATATTGTGTGCACGATCTTTCTATGCTAATATGCTGCAAAGCCACATAACACGCTGTTTTCAGACTATTATCTTTAGTGATGATAAAGTCTCTGAGGGGAGCTTTCATGCTGCAATAGATGCACAACATAGACGTCTCCAGTCGTGTTTGTAAATCCAAGTATAGGCAGCTGCAGGTAGGAAGAAAGTTGAACTTCCAAATATGGTCAGCGTTTGGGATAAGATTATAGTTAGGTGTGGTTTGGACTTTTCTTCGATGCTAACTGTAAATGATAATGGGCCTGGTTTTGAATGGAAAGTAGTTCGTCAGGCTGGATGCTAGATATTGCTTTATGATACTCTGGCTCAGGAGATTACCATTCAACACACACCAGTGAGGGGCCTATAATCATCAGTGATGTTACAGCCCCTCCAGTCAAGGTCAATAGTGTGGTATTATCATATAGCAGTTACGGTGCCAGCCCTACCAGTATTCTGTAAAATGGTAATATAACAGATTTATGTATAATCTAAAATATTCTGAATGTGTTTTAATGATCACAAGAAACTCTTACAAACTACTGAATTATTATCTGGTTAAATTAAAACAGTAAATAATGAGCCTCCTTTATGATAAAACGTATTCTTCTGTTTCAGTTTCTTCCTCCAGGCAACTTTGAAAGTATTTGCTGAGAGGGAGCTTCATTCACCCTGTTTACTTGAATGTAACCGACGACCTTCAGACATCGACACCACTCTTTGAAACATTTTCTCCACAACATGAGCCAAATAGTTTCTCAGTTGTGAAACATTTTTTAAAAAGGCAGTTTTTACATTAAGTAGAGGAATTTGTGCAAACATTCACTCATTGGGCTGATCTCATTTACATCCACTTCCTTATTACTGTCATTTATGCTGTTGTGCTTGTTTGCGTCTGAAGCACGTAATGTGTCTGCCACTGTCCTCCCTTCACTTACTGTCCATGAGCCTCCAGTTCAGCAGCGGGTCGTAGACGAAGGCCTCCAGCACGGCCATGACGCTGTCCCGGTGCTCCCTCAGCACCTCCATCACTGTGTGGCATGTGATGCGGTAATTACCGTCCAAGCCTGTCACCTGGCAGAGAGTCAGACACACACTTTACGAAGATTTCACAGCAACACAAAATATGAATTTAGATCTAGTGTTTGTGTAATCCAGTTTGATAGGTAAGAGAAGAAGTGCTTTGAGGTTTAGTAGAAGAGCTACTGAATAAAATTTAAAACTTTGATGCTTTCATATTTAATTCTTTTTCATCTTTGCTCATTCAATAAATGCCACAGTGAGTCATAGGTTCTGATGAATCGTGCGCACATGGAAAAGATGATAATTTTGACTAAAATAAAAAAGCTTTGATCGAATTTAAGTTCAGTTTTGTAGTTCATTGGAATCTTTATTAAACAGATTTGTGACAGAACAGTCTCTACACACAATGATAGACACAGTTCTTAGTGTTTCAGATTGCTTACCTCCATGGCGTTGGTCAACATCCTTGTCAGTCTGAATGGAATCTTCTCAGGGAACTTCTCTCTGGTCATGGCCACCTGTTAAAGGTCGTAATGAAACTTAGTCTCATAAATAAAAGAGAATGATATGTTGGCAACAATAGCTACCTGTGTATGGAGAGAGATACTCTGTTATTAACCCTGTTAATAGTCTGAGTGAGACTAATAAGTAATACTGCCATTAAACCACATTCTCCGATTACCTTAACCTGAAAAAGGTCACACGTGGAATATGCACTAACTGAAGTCATGTGTGGTATTCTGACCTTAACAGGATTATGTAAACATTCATATGTCCCAATTGCATTATAACATCCTATTGAAGTTATAACATCATATTGCTGCATCAACATGTATAACACTTATTAATTGCATAACCAGATAATGCTCTGTGACATGTAAACAGGAATATGAATTGACTATTCTATTAGTAACTTAACTTAGTGTAACCTAGTGTAAATGTTCACAATAACATAAATCACTGGAATATCTGTATCTATGTAAACTTGCTCAATGTTTTGTAAGAAAATCTCTCCTCACCTCAAAACAGTCTCCAAAGTCAATGTGGAGAATCTTCCCACTTAATCGATCCAACATCAAGTTGGATGGATGCCTGACAAATGGGAAAATTGTATTGTAATTAATGTGTTATTATGTTAACAGTCATTATTCCAATAATCATTTGGAAATAATACAAGACTTCACCTGTCACCCAGTCCGAGGATGTATCCCACCATTGACATCACAGCCAGGGAGCGAGTGTAATTGGTCCTCCTGTCGAACCACACCTGGGAGGAGAAGTAACATCTGGATTGTGAGATTTCTTCTTGTTCACAGTGTTGAGAACAGCAGAGAATTCTCAGGCAGGCTTTCCAGACACTTAACATGCAGAACATCATGTACACGAGGTGTTATTGTTCGTAACAATGGATTTATTCAAGGGCTGTTTGTAAAGTCCGGCTGCGTCAGTGGTTGGAAAGTAGGACGCAGAGAGAAAACTCACTAACTTGGACTAAGTTAAAAAGTTTTCCTCTCTCTATTTTTCCTCTTATCTAATGAAAGACCGCCAGAACATCAATACGCCAGCCTCTTCTAAAATGTTTATTTATAGAAATGTATGTTTTCTTTTCTATGACTAAGCACTCATCGGGGACATTTTCTCTCACAACCACCTAACAATGAGGATGGATGCTGAAAAGATGAAGGACACTCAATCTGTTAACAGAAAAGCAGAGCATCCCACCTCTGAGCTTGGGCTCTTGAGCCACAGGAGCTTGGCAAGGTCATCTCCTGCCGTGTTGTTGACGGCATGCTCAAACACCTCGACCTTCTCCATCAGTGTTAGGTGGTCATAGTCTGGGGCCATCTGAAAAACAATGGAAAATTCAAGTCAAATGATGCAATTGAGATATCAAATACAAAAGGAATCCAAACCCCCCAATTGTGATGATGCACAACATTAAGAGTTTCTGGAAAAACCCTGATACATTACTGAAAAAAAAACTACACATAAAGACAACTATAGGTCTTTCTTTGCAACCTAGGTCGTCACCACCTCAACGACTGAAGAGACTTGGGTGTAAACTGTCTGTGTTTTGTAGAAAACAGTTTCCTGCAAACAGAACTGAAAAAGTCCAAAATGATATTTTACTGTTGAGTCTCAGATTCAGAGAGAAACACCGACCAGACAACAATTTCTCTGTGTCTTACCCTCCCATTGTCCTCGTTCTTTATCTAAATGTGATCTGATTATTGGCCTGACTGATTGACGGGTCAGCTTAATATCTTGCAGGAAGGCTTTAACTGAATGTAACACATCATTCATAACTCAAATATCATTAAGAAATAGAAAAGAACGTGGCTGTGACACATTTTGGAGTTTGCACAGCGAATGTCAGATTGTTAACCTGCCCTGTAGCCTCTGCACAAAATGGCTACCTTATACCTGAGGCACACTCACTTTGTGTAGTGACACTTCAGTGAGGAAGATTACGTATGTACATTGTATGTACATTGTGTGTGTGTGTGTGTGTGTGTGTGTGTGTGTGTG